GTCCGAACGCTGGCCCCGAACATTTTCCCCACCGGTTTCCTGGGTCCTACTTGCGCGTCCCTAGTTGGACTTCTAGGGTTTTATTGTGTATGTAATAGGCATATGACTGTATCTATATACCTAACTTAAATACCTGTATATCTATAATTACATGTTCCTACAGTGGGAAGCCCCGCCAGACGAGGTGGGCACGCGCTAGCGTTTACAATTACCCCAAGCCCTAAGCCCTATAACCTGGTGACTTAAGTTAAATTCCTTAACAGCAACCCAGGATCTCCTCCACCCCCGCTAAAGCATTACGCCGCCACACCTCGGCGGCTGAATCAAGCCTCTGTTTGGACTTTATGCAGTTTAGGGTTTAGGGCTTAGGGTTTGGGTTTAGGGTTTAGGATTTAGGGCTTAGGGTTTAGGATTTAGTTAAGGGTAATAGGGCTTAGGGTGCAGGGCTGCAAGAGCTTTCGTTGACCCTCTGTTGAACAAGGATTTCTGAGAAGAAGCAAATCCCCTCATCACAATATTTGGGCCCGACCTCCGTAATGATAAACATCCCCAGGAAGATTCCATTATACGATAGGGAGAATGTTTATCAGCGGGGCCGGAAGTTTGCTTGGGGGGGAGGATCGAGATTACCCTAAGGATCCGACGGACAGCAGGGATATAATGGCCGCGTTAGAGCGTTACCTCATAGGGTCAGGCCCTGCAAGTAACAACAAAAAGGGCAAAGCTCCATCACACCAACATCCAAGACCAAGTCCCCCTTAAGTAAATAGAACATGGCTTTGGGTATGCTACAATAAGATCCCCAAATACCCCATATTCGATCTACATAAGGGGAGTATAGAGCTTTGGGTTTCGGATCCAAACCCTTTGGGAATCAGCTCGACTCTGCCTGCCCCTTCGGTCCGGTGTACTTCCTGAGCAAGAGTCCAGTTTAGGGTCTAGCTGGACCCCGAAAGTAGGTAAAATATTGGCCCCAAACCCCTAATAATGGGCCAACAGGCTATAGTTTCACATACATTGGGGGGTCCAGGTAGGGTTTAAGGTTTTCGGGTTTAGGGTAGGTCAGGGAGGTAGTCGGGAGGGGAAACACCTAAATACATAAATCGCTTGGGGCCTAGGGTTTAGGGTCAGGGGGTTAGCGGCACGGGGGCTAATCTGGCACACGATTTCTTAACTCGAGTTTAGGCTGGGGGGATTTAGAGTTCAGGGTTGGGGGTTAAAGTTTCAGTGTTGGGAGCTTTGTGCTTATAGTTTTGGGCTTATATGCTGTACACCCGCGATGCATTCTGCAGCATTATTATATATGCCTTTGGAAAGTAATCTCCTAAGCCAGTGTGTAGATCCTTTAGGGTTTAGGGGTTCAGGTTTAAGGGATGCCTAGACCATATAAAAACGCCCCAAACCGGAATAAACCCTTTCAGGGTTTAGGAGTTTAGGGCTTAGGGTGTAGGGTTTAGGAGTTTAGGGCTGCCAAAAACCATCAAAACCCCAACTAGCATGCGGGATCAGGGTTACAGGTGAGCCCATAAGCAGACAACCTGACCCACCGAGTCCATAATCCCCTCACCAAAGTAGTGAACTCCCACCGCGAATAAAAATGAGAAGAAGGATAATACGAGAAAGAATAACACATACCACTACTTATGATATAACAACTTAGAAACCATAGCCACAGTCATAATGAACGACATCAACAAGAACAACTCCCGCGATATAGCGCCATCACATATTAAGTGTCTGCGTTTAGGGAGGTGCTAGGGGTTATTCCATAGGGGGAGGTCATTAACAATGAAGGCATGGATCCCTATGGCAGTCCCGTATAATCCTGTTCGAGAGTCCCGACAACCCATTCCCGCATTCCTGCTAAGAACCTAAACCCAAACCCTAGTAAACCCCTGCCGTCGGGGTGACCCTAAGCCCTTCACCCTAAACCCTAAACCCTAAAAAAACACTGAGGTTGGGGTGACCCTCAGCCCTACACCCTAGCCCTAAACCCTGAACCTAAACCCTAAACAGCCCCAAACCCTAGTAAAACCCTGAGGTTGGCGTGACCCTTAACCCAGAACCCTCAAACCCTAAACCGGATTCCCTACACCTACTAGCAGTGAGGGTTTAGGGTTTAGGGTTTTAGGGTTTAGGGTTTTGAGTACCAGATTTCGCAACTTTTAGAATACATGACCCCAATCCCGGGATCGGCACCAACCAACCAACCCAAAACCACACCGGCTGATGGAGGAACACTTGCACTCCCTTGGAAAACCCAAAGTACTGCTCCTAATATCCCCCTTAATAAGCCCTATAATACTCCTCTACATAATCCCATATATAGACCCCTTTCAGGAGTTTAGATTATAGCTCATGTAAGGTGCTGCAAGACTTCCTCAATCCACAGAAGGGCCCGCGACCAGAAGAGACCCGACTCCTGGGAATCCCTCACATGGCTACGGTCCTGGACATCTTGAACCATCCGTTTGGCCGCCAGGTGCCAAAGAAGCTCCTCCGGCTAACAGGGGTTTCCCCTGGGGGTCTGGGCTTAGGGTGTAGGGGTTTAGGGTAGGGTTTAGGGTTTAGGGTTTAGGGTTTAGGGTCTAGGGTGTAGGGGTTTAGGGTTCAACGGTCTAGGGTGTAGGGTTTAGCGTGTAGACATAGTACTTGCTTTGGGCCCTGAAGTCCATAAACAGTACTCCCAAAGGGTCCATGCAGCTATACAATATATACTGTACTTGGGTGCCAAAGTAGGTAGATGGGCAAACCCTTTCGGCCTTAAGTATATACCATATTCCTACATGTACCCTTTGGGATTTTCTTGGGGCTCTGAATTTTTTGACTTCTACCTCCTTTGGATTCCTTGGTTTTTTCGAAGCTGCAGATCTTCCTTGCGCAGCCCCGATCCCGAATTTCCAAATTATTTCCAAAACCATCTTAGATTCTGAAACTTAGGGGCCCCAGGGATGAATTAGGTGTAGTCTAAACTCCTATCCCCCTTGCTAACCCCTACAGTAGTCCGATATATGACCGCCTTTAAGTATAGGGAAGAGTTTCTTTTTTTGGTTCATGAAGGAACCTCAAACCCCAAACCCTCAACCCTAAATCCTAAACCCTAAGTCCCACACCCTAAAACCTAAATCTTAGACCCTAAATACTAAATCCTGAACCCTAACAACTAAACCCAAACCCAGGTTGAAATACCCGAATAGGATACGCGCATGACCCTACGTACCCTACACCCTGGGAGTTCTGGGTTGAGGGTTTAGGGTTTAGCATTTAGGTTGTAGGGGTTAGGGTTTAGGATTTAGGGTGTAGGGGTTAGGGTTTAGGATTTAGGGTTTAGGGCTTAGCATTTAGGATTTGGGGTGTTTTCTAGCTTGCCAAGGTCAATCAGGGTTGGGTGTCCACAGCAGGCATGAAGGGGAGATGTTGTTTTTCAGACTTCCCCATTTCGTCATACCTATATGCTTAGCGATAGAGGCGAATCCCTCTTCGGTTCCTTGATGGGGATTTATCGTGCAGAAACAGTTGCCTGACAAAGAGCGCGAGCATTCGAATAAGCAGGATACAGTCTGCATCGGCTTCCACGTTGGATTTACATACTAATGGCGTTGTCGTAACGCCTCTGAGGATTGCAGGTCAACAGCTAATTCACAATCCGAAGTCAACAACACGTGTTTCCTTCCAGCCTTCAGAAAGCCCAAAGCTGCTATGAAGTTATCCTGCAGGAAGCCCGATGGGCTGTGGACATGGCAACTTCACTTTGCCCAATCGCCTGGCTTGCATCGCAAGTTAGGACGTCATACTGCATCATACGCAGTGGCCTCCAAAACACGGCGGCAGGTGCTGTGACAACGGCGCGAAGATTCCAGCCTTCCTTACAATGCCTTGCAATGCCTAAACCCTCATTCCTAAACCCAGAATTCCCTACAATGCCTAAACCCTCTCCTAAACCCAGAATTCATTACAATGCCTAAGCTCTCAACCCTAAACTCAGAATTCCTTACAATGCCTCAACCCTCAACCCTAAACCCAGAATTCCCTACAATGCCTAAACCCTCCCCTAAACCCAGAATTCATTACAATGCTTAAGCTCTCAACCCTGAACCCAGAATTCTTTACAATGCCTAAACTCTGAACCCTAAACCCAGAATTCATTACAATGCCTAAACCCTCGACCCTAAAACCAGAATTCCTTACAATGCCGAAGCCTTCAACTCCACAAACCCACTATCTCAACTGAAGCCGATGAGTTTTGGGAAGTTCTTTTTTCCTATATACCCTCCCGGAAACTAACAGGGAAACCCAAAAAGGGCCCTATAAAGACTACAGTCCCTTTAAAGGGGGTCTATATGGGTTTCCATGTTAGTTTGGGGGAGTGTAGCCCCTTTGGTAAGCCCTTTTCAACTCTTTATCCAACCACCTGAATAAACCCAAAAATCCAAATCCTATGTATGACCCCTGCGTAGCCCTTTCTATCCTAGCCATAACGTCCGTCCTGAGCATCAAGTCTTTCATGAACCTAGGGCGGGTGTTGGAGGTTTACCCTAAGGGTTTCATGACCAAAATGATCGGGCTATAGGGCCCACATATCATTCAATAGTATAGTTTTTGGGCAAAAAAAAACTATTATTTGGGTGGCCCTTAGGTTTAGGGTCCAAGGGATTTGGAGCCGCACAGTGAAGTAAAGCCCCAAACCCTAAACCCCTAAGCCCTAAACTCTAAGGCCTTAACCCTAAGCCCCTAAACCCTAATACCATAGTGGTACTTAGGACTTTGCATAAAGACTGCAATCAGGCCAAGGGGTGTATGCGTTACGAATTTAGGGTTTAGGGTTTGTCAAGACTGTAGGGGCTAACCTACGAAAGTGATAAGGATAATCTAATTGGACAACTCGACTTGCGAGTGTAGAATTTGCCCTTAGGCCTGCAAGAGCTCATCTTTGCTACGGAGCTCGCCATGGAACATCAGAAAAAAAAGACTCTCTGCGGTCATGCTGTACTGTAGACGCCTGAATAATGATGAGGAGCATTCCTGTTGCAAACCTTGTGCACTTGTGGGATTGTCCCTAAACCCTAAACCCCTAAAAACCTAAACCCTAAACCCTAAACCCAGTGTGCCCCCCCAAAACTGCACCAGTGAATTTGCCACTAGTGACTCGGGCTTCTACTACTTCGGCCTATCTGACCTCTCCACCCTAAACTTACCCAAATAATAGGGGCCCTTTAAGGGGGTTAGAGGGGATATCTAGGGTTTAGGGTTTAGGGGTCCCAGGACCCAAATGATAGGGTTTTAGGGCCCAAATACTACAATATTTATGGTATTTGGGCCCTAAAACCCCACTATTTGGGTCCTTGGACCCTTAGGGCTCTACACCCTTGCGCTAAACCCCGAAGAGCTGACCGGTAATTCCCATTGTTCCTACAACTTAATAGTAACTACCCCGCATATACATAATCAGTAGGTCTAGCCCATCAAACTGCATCCCTAAACCCTTAAAACCCTAAATCCCTAAACCCTAAACCATTGGTCCAGCTAGCTTACATGAAGGACCCGAGTTGCTTGTCCCAGTCAGCCGTTCGCAGGTTTGCAGAGCAGGTCTAGGGTTTAGGGATTCAGGGGCTTACTGTAGGGATTCAGGGGTTTAGGGATTCAGGGTTTGTTCGCAGAGCAGATTCCATGCTGTTCCGCCCGCACCCATCAATGGAGGTGGTTGAACCAAGTGACATAATGTCCTTCTTGCAAAATACCACATCCTAGAGGAGGATATAGTCCTACGCTACTCTATATTGGGGACCAGAACGTCCAAATAAAATACTCCCTAAACCCTAAACCCTAAACCCCTAAACCCCCAAACCCCTAAACCCTAAACCCTTCAATAAGCAGCACCTTAGGCCTCAAAAAACCTTGAACGCTAAACCCTGAACCCTATCCCGCAAGGATATGGGTGGTTGTCAAAATTCCGGTCCCTTTTTGGGTATCCTAAATGGGGTTTAGGGTTTGGGGTTTAGGGAAATATTATAGGTGCCGTATTATACGAAGGATCCAAAAAGGGATCATAATTTTGACAACCACCCATATAGCTGGAGGGATGGAGGGACCACGTCGGCGGGATCCCGCATAGTCCCACTGTAATTTATATACCTGGGTATCCTAAATTCTTAAACCCCAAACCCCTGGTAACCCTAAACTGCCCTAAGCTGCCCTAAACCCCATTTCTTGTCCACACAGCCATTTCTGAGCTTTACTTTTTTTCAGTTCTTGCTTTGTTGTAGGATGGGCTTCAGAAATCTAAGGCCGCAAGCATTCGAATGCTAGGGCACTCGGGGATTAGGTTTAGGGTTGGATCAAATCAAAGGCTTCGGGCGTGCGGCAGGACCCAAATATTCAGGGATGAGGTCCTCTGAAGCGATCGACCTTAAACCCTAAACAGTGTGTCAGGGAGCTTTCCTTTGGACCCTTAGGGTTTGTNNGTATTTGGGACCCAAAACTTAGGGGAACAAACACTAAGGGTACAAACTTAAAGTCTTTGAGTGTGGATGATAGTGTTGGGGACCTGTAAATCTAGCCCTGTTCTCTGGGTACCTGGACCCTTAAGGTGGGGGACCCTAAGCGTTGTAATGTACGGAATGGTACGGAATGTGAACTTGGAGGGTTTCTTCCAAGACCTTATAGGTTGCAAGTACCCCTAAACCCTAAAAACCTAAAGCCTATAAACTTCAGAGTTTTAGGGACTGACACCAAGCTGAGTTGCCAATGTTATGGTCCCTGCTTGGGTACCCCAAGTATTCGGGGCCATGCTACACCAGGGAGCCAAACAGGGCCTAGGGTTTAGGACCAAGTCTTTAAAATGATCCGCTATGGTGTCGTGCAACCATGTTGGGATTATTCAAGATGATATGGGTGGGGGGAGGGTATGATCATTTGGCAGAACCCCAATCAACACCTGAGCGGTCACCCAAAATCACTGAAGCACAAGCAATGCAGCCGATCAGCCCTTTCGGGGGGCCCCCCTCGCCGCTAATCGTCTCCTGGATGCAAACAAGCAACGATTGCTTTTAGATGTGAGTGAGAATTTAGGGCTTAAGAGGCTTGGGGTTCACGCAAACCTATGAACCCTAAGCCCTAAACCCTTAAACTTCCAGGTGGTTATTTCGCCCTGACCTTATGAGCTAAACGAATGCTTCTGCGTATGCTAAAAATTCTGCACGACTCCAGTATACTTAAATCCGAAGGTATAAGGTATTTGGGATCATGCATGATTTTCAGTATCCACTGTACTAAATTGCAACACTAAAGCCCTAAGCCCCCAAAACCCTAAACCCCCCCAAGCTTTAAGTTCCTCAACAGCTACCCGCTTCAGGCTTCGGTGCTTTGGTTTAAGAAGGCCGTGAGGATTAGGTTGTAAGGGCTGAGGGCTCAGGATCGAGACGGTAGAGTCACCTGAGTTGGATAACTGGTGAACACAGAAGGTCCAAGGAGCCAAATATGAGCCATAATCTAAACTCCTAGCAAATAACCCCTATCGTAATCCCGTATATAATCCCCTATATAACCCCTTGAAGGAGTTTAGACAATGGCTCATATGGCGGTGGTAGCAAGTAAAATACCGTGAGATTGTGGAATCCGGATCCTGAAGCCCTGTAGCCGGGTACTCAGGGTATACACTAAGTGGACCCCCTACCACCTAATGGTGGTATAATAGTTATAATAGGAATATGAGACGAGCCTTAAGCAATCACCATTATGCTCTATAGTCGCTATTACGGGGTGGGGGGTCTACCTGAGCTATGGAGTAGCCAGAGAATGAAACGTGCCTACACGTCCCAAGCAAATAGCCTAAACCCTAAACCCTAAACCCCGAAGGTCTTCACCCAGCTCAACAACCTTGGTGTTCCAAAGCTGTGCTTGCTTTCATGCAATGGCCTACTTGCCTAGAATTGGGTGTCGGAATATATGTACTATAGTCGAAACTCCTTAAAGGGGGTAATATAGGGGATTATACAGGGAACTACTATAGGGGTTATTAAGGAGGATACTAGGAGTTTAGACAATGGCTCATATGAGATTGTGGTTCCTAACGATATGGAAGTTCAAAATACGGTAGACTAATCTCATGTCCATGTCTCGCACCCCTTCCGTGTTGTTTCAACGTCGCAGGAAAGGAAGCAAACGATTGCAACGCAACGCTGCTCATGAATGGTCAGCTGCAAACACAATGAACGCAATGATGCAAATGAGGTAAACTAGGATGCGACGAAAGTCCCTGTGGCTTCTGCCACTGCACCAACACATGAGCCATTATCTAAACTCCTAGTATCCCCTTTCATAACTGTTATAGTTGTCCCCTAAATAAACCCCTCTATAAGCCCCACTAAGGAGGTTAGATTCTAGCTCACATGAAGTAGCGACAATGGACTTGCCCGTTTCTCCTAACTCTAAGAGTCCCAGGACCCAAAATTATGGTTCTAGGGCCCAAATACCATTTATATTTTGGTATTTGGGCCCTAAAACCCTAGTGTTTGGGTCCTTGGACCCTTAATGGCCCTAATATGCAACCACCATCAACGTTTAGGGCTTAGGGAGTAGGGTTTAGGGAATACTAGAAATCCTGCATGACCCTAAGTACCCTAAACCTTGGGCATCTTGGTGCTCTAGTAGAATGAGGTCATGCAGGATTTTTAGTATCAACACCAAAACTCAAATAATGGGGTTTTGGGGCCCCAATACCATTAATGGTAGAGTATTTGGGCCCTGAAACCCCATTATTTGGGTCCTTGGACCCTTAGGGATTGGGACTATGGGGACTAGTTAATGTGTCCAACAGGTACATGTACCTGTAAAGTATGTACTTGGGGGTAAAGTTTCTGGGTGCATACTGTACCGGTCGGGCAGTACTCATTGAGGACCCACGTTTAAGCCCCCACGCGCTAAACCCCAAAAAGTGATCAGGGAAATTGGAGTTGCTAGTTTAGGAGGCTATCGGATTCAGGATTAGTGCTTGGGGTCAGGGGAGTTCAGCAAGTATACCTATGAGATTTAAATGCCATGAACAATGATGCACATATTCTGTATCTGTATCCCTAAGCCCGAAATCCTAACCCTCCTGATACCACTCTTCCAGGTTGTCCAGCTTGTCACCATCCTTACACAACAGGGTTCAGGGGATTAGGCTTTTGGGTTTAGGGTTTAGGGTTCAGGTATCTATACCTGCGAGCCCTTAGCCTAAAGCCCTGAGAGTTTTTAAGGTCAAAGGATTTGAGCTTGCAGTTTCGAAACGTGCTGGAGAACAAGCTCCCTTTACCCAGATACCCAAATCCTAAGTCCCAGTCACCCTACTTAGAGCTTCAGGGGGTTTAAGCAAGTAAGTGTAGTCATGCAAGGCACCAAAGGTTTGTTCGGTTTAGCATGGTGAGGCTAGGCTCTCATAGCAGATGTGCCGCAGACAGTACCAAAATGAGCTCTAAGGGTGACATACGTTTGCTTGGGCACCCTCTGTGTCCCTAAACCCTCAGGCCTATAAAGAACCCTACAGATGTACGACAGTATCATATGGCAGTCTCCAAAAACTGGAGGACCTCAAGGGACCCCAGAGATACATGCGGACTAGACAGGGATTATACGTAAGGTTATTTCAAGACACTCCCATATGTCATGGTGTTAGGATCTTCTGATATAATTCAGGCGTACATGTGGCGCTACAGAACTGAATTCTCCTTAGATATGGCCCACCCCAAGGACTGTGCAACAAATCGAGCAAACACGAAACCTTTACTGTTTAGAGTGGGGTCGTACTCCCCAGGCCCACAAACCCTAAAACGGTTGAGAGTTTAGAGCTCACGGTCCCCAATGCCATGCCATAATTCCTACATTCTAGACCTTAGGCCTCAGACCCGTGGAGGGACGAACCCTATGCATCATCATGTCAAAAACCAACCCTAAGGGTCCAAGGACCCAAACAATACGGTTTTAGGGCCCCAGTACTATACTATTGATGGTAGTTGGGCCCTAAAACCCTATTATTTGGGTCCTTGAACCCTTATGGCAAGAACCCAAACCCGAATCCTAAACGCCCAAAACTGTAGCTACACCCGACTGGAACCCTACAAAGAGCCATTCCTAACAAGGACAGTGGTCTCAATAGGGTTCAATAGGGGCTTTTTGGGGCTCGATTCTAGTGCGGAGAAGTAGGCACCAGTTGCATCCCCACAAATGTCTACATACCCCCACTTATAGAACCGAAAGACGCCCTGTTGGGGGATTCTTGGGCAGTGCTACCCCACTGTAAATGTTACCCTCGAAGGGTTTTAAGTGGGACAAGTGGGACCCAAGTGTCGGACCCTTAGCCCTAAACCCTAAACCCTAAACCCCTAAACCCTAAACCCCTGAATCCCAAACCCCTGAACCCTAAACCCTAAACCTTTGGGCTCTGAGCTTCTTATGAGCTGTAGACTAAACCCCCTAGTATCCCCCTTAATAATGGGGAATCAAATGGAAAAGAAAATGGAAAATGAAATGGAAACTAGGATTAGGGTTTAGGGTTTAGGGATTATATAGGGGATTATAGGGGTTATAGTCTAAACTCTTAGTATCCTCCTTAAGAAGCCCTATAATAGTCCCCTACATCATCCCCTATGTAACCCCCTTTAAGGAATTTAGATGATATAGCTCATACAGCCAACATCTAGGTACTATGGACTTTCAAAAGGTCTCCCACGGAAATAGAGCTGTGGCCTGTCCCGACCTCAGGGCCCTACCGTAACCTCCTGACACTCACTCTTTCCCTAAGGCTCAAAATAGCCCAAAAGCCTTGTATAGTATGGTCTTTGGGCCCAAAAGCCTTATATTGTGAGTCCTCAGAGCCTTAGGGTTTACTTCAAAGTTGAGGGTTTAGGGTTTATGGGTGGTTTAGGGTTTAGGGCTTAGGGTCCTTAACCCCACACACAAACCCGAAACCCCAAAATTTGACTTGGGGGACAAGCGTACATCATGCCTAAACTTCTGGTATCCTCGTTAATAAGCCCCATAACTGTCCCCTATATAACCCCACTATAGTGAAGAGACCCCTGTTGAATGTGTTTTCGCCGCTGCGTATTCAGTTTCAGGCCATTGTTGGGAAGACCCTCTTTAATGTGCTATGATTTTGGGGCCCTAAAAAAAGGGGAAGCTGCAAATCTTGAGGCCCCAGGAAAAGGAGTTTGAAAGGCAGTCCTTTTAAAGTAATGTCCCAGCTCAGCCCAGAGATACCAGAATCCAAATACTCACCAAATCTTGGACCTAAAGCCAACTAGTGTTATTCAAAACGCTACTCTAAAACCATACGAATCCCACCCGAAATCATGTCGGCAAAGGGGGTAGGTAGTCCAGCAGACTCCTGGACTTCGAATAACTACCTGTGTTTGAAGACCTTCTTTAATCTGTGGGCGCCAGGCCCGCGCAGGTCTTGAGGCCCCAAGAAAAGACTTTCAAAAGACAGCCCTGGTAAAATCCTTTCCCAGCTCAGCCCAGAGATATCCAGAATCCAAATCCTTACCAAATCTTGAATCTGCGGCCGATTAGTTTTTTCTTTTTTATCACCCTATTCTAGAAGGAAACCCTTTACTTACTCACCAGACCCTGAGTCATCCTCAATTAGATAATCTTAGAGCCCTCAGGAATCCTGTATGTTTTACTCCCCAGACCCTTAGTACCTGAGACAGAATTTTGGGCCCTTATTCAGAGCGCCTAATTTCCATTTTCCGGGAGCCTATTGTTAGGGCAGGGGGGGTTCTAGAGCTTAAAGAGAGAGTTTCATAAACCCCCTCGAAGGAGTTTAGACTACAGCTCATGTTGAACCTTAAACCCTAAAGCCCAGAACCCAGAACCCGAAACCCATCATGTTTTGATAAAGTTGCAAGGTCGATGCCGCGAAATGGCGAGGCACACCTGCGAAGGTAGAGTGCGCAGCTGCAGGTTTAAGGCTTAACGGACTTTGGTTTTAGGGTTTGGGGCTTCTGGCTTGGGGTTTAGGGTTTAGGGCTTAGGGTTTCATAGCGTGTCATAAGGTTTCATAGGTTTCATAGGGTGTGGTAGGGTTTGTGGGTTTAGGGCGTATGGGGTCTAGGGTTCTGGGATTAGAGTTTGAGGTTCAGGGTTTAGATTAAAATGAAGAGCTCCAATATGGCGCCCTGTACTGCTACTGGGTGATCTTTACCCTAAACACTGAGCCCTAAACCCTAAACCTTGAACGCAAAGACGACGACCTCAGACCCTATAAGCCCTCAAAAAAACACCGCCTTTTGAACCAGTAAACTAACCCAAAGGGTCCATGTAGGTACAGGGTTTAGGGTTCAGGGTTTAGGGTAGGTATATGGTATATACTCCGGGCCCAAAGGGGTTCCCATATAGCTACTTTAAGGCCCAAGTATATGCCATATAGCTACATGGACCGTTTGGGCTAACATGGAACCCAGAGCAGGCGTCAAAATTACCACGTATCGTTTTGGACTAGTACTAACATCTCTCTACTCCCTAAACCCTAAATTCAATAAGGGTAATTTTGACCCTGGCTCAGATAGGGTCGTTGTTGGTTTGGAAGGTAAGTAAGCCACCCCACAACCCCAAGCATAGGGTTTAGGGTTTAGGGTTTAGGGGCCACCCCACAATCCCACCGTAAAGCCTACATCTTAAACCCAACGCCTACAACCTAGACCCGTCAGGTTCCTATAGACAATATACTGTAGGCGCCGAAGTCTATACATGTTACCTACTTCGGGCTTTTCGGGTCCCTAACCCCTAGGGTTTAGGGGTTTAGGGTTTAACCCCCCGCCCGGAATCATTGACCCGACCCAGTAAGCTAGTAGCCCATAATCATAGCTTATTGTCCCCCAAGTGCTGTACCACTGGGGGTTAAAGCAGCCAATCTGCTTGGGTATCCTTAATCCTAAACTCTATACACCCTAAACTCTAAACCCTACCTGGAAAGCCTAGTTCTGCAACTTAATGGAATACTTTAAGCCAAAGTAACACGAAATTTGGGGAAAGTGGGGAAAGTAGACTAGAATCACGGGCTACCGGCTCTCTAGGTAACCCGAATCCCTAAACCCCAAGCCCATTACTTTGAGTAATTGGGCTTGCTAAGAAAAGCTTAGAGTAAAGTTATGGAAAACCAGGATGGGCTATTAGACCTTAAACGGCCCTTAACCTACCCTTATTAAGGTACAGATAGGGAAATTTAGGGTTTGATAGCCAATACTGGAAGGGCGCCTCTTCACAAAGCCCTCCTCTTCCTCGCCCTCTGCTTCGCCCTGCGCACGGGTACCGTCTAGAGGCTGGGTCTAGCCAAAATGCTGTCAAGGAACTTAAGTTGACATAGGGTGCGGGTTCAGGGTCTAGGGGTTAGGGTTACGTGGGCATGTATAGGGCTCCATAGGGTTTTATAGGCTTAGGGTTGTTTAGGGCCTAGGGCTTGGGGTCAGGAAGACTTAGCAAGCATACTTACAACCCATGTAAGCCATATGCTAACCCAGTCATCCCACGATAAAAACAAAGTGCCCAGGAACCTCCAAATAATGCATCCACTGAGTCCAAACAAGACGACACGCGGTTCAGGATTTAGGTGAATAATTATGCATTTGGGACTCTGCCAGCAGGATTTGCAGCACAGGTTTTGGGGAAGACTATTGGAAGACTTTAGGTGGACCCCCCGCCCTGTAATAGTGACTATAAGGGATAATAAGGAGTATATTAGGGTCCTACTATATTCCCATTATACCACTATTACAGGGTGGGGGGGGTCCTCCTAAGGAAGACTATTGGGTAGTTGGACCCTTAAGGCGAGGTAGGTCCTTTCTTCATAGTAGGTGGACCTCAAAGCAAGTCAAAACATGTTCCAAAACCTGGAATATGTGTTGGGTCATTCCCCCTTACAGTAACTGTTACCACAATGGGTTATAGGAGTTATAAGAACCCCCTTAATAAGGCCACTTTAAGGACAGTTACTGGGAGGGGGAATGACCCAAAATATGTGAAAAAAAGGCGTAGTCTGCACACTTTGGAGGTAGGGTAACCAATACGTCTAGACTAACTCCCAGGTCAGGCCTTCGATTAGAGCTAGATTTCTAGTGCAAGATCTCATCCACTAGCAGGAAGACCCTATATCCTAAAAATCCCAAGGCTCTGCACTCAAAGCCCGAAATCCTCAACTCCGCACGCAAGACCCTAAAATTTAGAGTTTAGTGTTTAAGTAAAGTGTTTTACAACCCTAAGGTGTAAGTTTTAGAGCTTAGGGTTTCTAATCTTAGCCCCCAAGCCCTAGGCTCCAAACCCTACAGCCTTAACTCTAAACTCTTTTGCCCTACATCTCCCCTTTACAAGAACCCTGACGCCCAATCCCCCAAACCCTGAAACCTACTTCCCTAAACCCTAAACCCAAATTCCTTTATTCCTTAAACCCAAACTCTCTAAACCCTCAAACCCTAATTCCCCAGGCCTAAAGCCTACTTCCCTAAAATCCTGAATCTCCTAAAACCCTAACCTAAACCCTAAACCCTAAAAACTAAACCCTTAACCCTAAACCCTATTTCCCTAACTCCCTAAACCCTAAAAAACCCTGTTTGCCGCTAGCCTCAGCTCTTCGGGCCACTGAGGAGGCAGAGAGGGCCGGCCTGCGGAATGGCTTAAGGGGTTTAGGGTTTAGGGTTAAAGTCCCCCCCCTAAGAGGATGTAGGGTTTTGAGTTTAGAGTTTATATAGGATATAGGGTTTAGGGTTTCCGGTTCAGGGTTTATATAAGATGTAGGGTTTAGGGTGTAGGGTGCAGGGTTTAGGGCTTGAGGGTTTAGGGTATAGTTCCCCTCAAGTACAGTTTAGGGTTTAGGGCTTAAGGTATAGTCCCCCTTAAGTTCGGGTTTTAGGGTTAAGGGTTATAGCCCCCCTTAAGTAGAGTTTAGGGTTTAGAGAAATGGGATAAATAGTCTCTCTTCAGTAAATAGACTGTGGGCGAATAGGGATCCTATAATAATGATTTTGGTGAATTCCATCTTCCATGCACTTAAGGGTGACTGAAGTACTTGGAGGTTCAGGTAAGATTTTGACTAATGTCTCAGCTATGGTTTTTGTGTAGGGAATAGTATCAGGGTCCAGTCCACCACTCAACCTTTAGCACGAGTTGTGTAACTTGCTACCTTGTTCAGGGTTTAGGGTCGTAGCCGCTTTTTTGGGGGCTTCAAGGGGTGGATCGTGACAGTGCTCGCTATTAACCTAATACAATGCTCTCTATAACCAAATCACCACCAATTCCCCAATTCCCAGCAGCGCACCAGTAGGGCTGATACATGGTCTGAAAGGCAAATAGTTTTGTTGTGGAAACTATAAACCAATGCGGTCTGCTACAAGCAACAGATACTTTGGGCCCGAACCATCTGAACTTCGCAGGCCATCTACTATCCAGCGCTCTCAGGGAACCTACAAACCCTATAAAGCCTACAACGCCTACAAACCCTTAAGCCCTCATAATCCTGAACCCTCATAAACCCAACAGCTTTCATAAGGAGACCCCAAAACACAAAAGCGAATGTACTACTGGAGTACCTAGCTAAGCTCAGCCTGAAGATTGCAGTGCCGACGAAAGCTTTGAAGGGTTGGAGCACCTGGCGAGGTTTGAGGATGTACCCCTCGCTGTGGTTTAGGGTTTAGGGTCTATAGGGTTTAGGGCTTAGGGTTAAGGGTTTAGGATTAGAGATACTAAGGCTTGAACTCTGGGCCCCAGTATGGGCCCGTAATCCTGATGGTGTCCTTATGTACCTATTATTGTACATCTTATAAAGCCCGTTTGAGCGCCGGTACTTAGCACTCAGGAAACAGGCAGGGCCAAACTAGGAGCCCATGGGTATAGGGTCTTAGGTTGAATGGGTTGGTAGAGATTCTATAGCGATATACAGGGGTTTGCTGCAGGGTTTCTCTAGGAATGCGTCGGGAGGCGCTGAGATACCACCCTTTAAAGGACATATTGGAGGTAGCCTAAACATGTAGATATGCGGGGATATGTATAGGGTATCGGGTTCGGGGCTCAATGACCTGTGGATTCGTTACTCGTTGGCTTCAGAATCTGGTGTAGGAGCCCGAGCGATAAGAATGGGGTTACAAAAGGGGAAGTAACAGGTTTACGGTTATAGAGCGGAAGGTAATATGGGGATACAGCAGCGCATGTCGAGTTTAGGAGTTTAGGGTGTGTGGGCCTAGTTCCTCAGAATAACGGAAAAATGCAGAATCCCGTGGAAAAAGCACATGAGCTATAGTCTAAACTCCGAGTATCCCCCTTAGTAAGCCACATAATAGTCCCCTATATAATCTCCTACACTCCCAGAAACTAACATGGAAACCCAAAAGGGGCCCTACACAGACTACTGTCCTTCTAAAAGGGGACTATATGAGTTTCCATGTTAGTTTCTGGGAGTGTATATAACCAGCCTTTCAAGAGTTTAGACTACAGTTCACCACGGAAAGTCTTAAGCCATAAGCTGCCGAAAGCCTTGGTGGTATATGGTAGATTCCCAAAATTAGGGGTACCATTTTGGGGGTCCCAATAATAAGGACTATGTTTTTGTGTCTATATTGGGGCCCCCTTTTTTGGGAAACTACCATATAACTATTCAAGCTTCAGGCTCCCTAAGGGTCCAAGGACCCAAATAATAGGGTTCTAGGGCCCAAATACTATACTATTAAGGGTATTTGGGACCTAAACCCCTATTATTTGGGTCCTTGGACCCTTAGGGGCTGTTTAGTGGCCTGGAGCTTAGGCCTGAAGGTCATTTCGGGTCATGCAGGGTTTAAGGTCGGAAGTGGGACTTCTACAGGGGTTCAAAGGGATCGTACTGTAGCCGCCTACACAAATGGAAGCCGACTGTGGGGCGCACTATACAAATTGAAGTGATCTAAGTGTAAAGATGGAAAAGCAACATGAGACCCCTAGACTACACAGGTACAGTGGTCGGGGTTTTGTGTTTAGGGTTTGGGGTCTATGGTTTGCGGATATTGGTTCAGGCTTTAGGGTTTTGAGGTCTTTAGGGTCTAGACTTACTTTTGAGAAGGGCTGCCAGAGGACAACCCTATCTCTGAAAAGTGGACAAGGTACCATCCCTGAGCCAACAATAGGGTGCCTTTTGGGGTCATCCAGTCAAGATGATACCCGATACTTCTGCAGGGTAATTTCGTTTCAGCGGATGTACTTTCTCTATCATTGAAGGGTCTCAGTGTAGACATCTTTAGGAGATGTGATACGTTTGATATTCAAAATCCTGTATGACCCTATGTACCCTTGTACGTTCAGTCAGATTTATTGTATTCTAGTATACCAAAGCCATGCAGGAGTTCTAAAAATAAACACTGCGAAAGATGGCGCCAACTGCGTGGCTGGAAGCCCCTCATTCACGAACAAACTGCAGTGATCTGAGTTTTTCATGGGCTGGAATCTTACATTCTACAACTGCCGCAATTGTCAAGTCTGTGGAAAGCGTAGAAGAACCCGAATCATTGAAAATCCACCTCAAGAGCTGGTTCTGTACCTCTTCGCTGTCCGCCCGAGTCATCTGACAGATCCGCTCCAGGATAAAAGTCTTTGAAAGTTGATGTTCAATCCCGAATTCATCTTTCAATTCTTCCAGGATGGAGTCAGCAGAAGCTGCAAGGACTCGAGCCCGCATTGTAACGTAGCTCTTCACGCCTTTCCTTCGACGCAACGGCATTTTGTTTTTCAGCCAGTCGCTTACCTGAATACAGCAATCGATTGCACAAAGTGCATAAGAAGGTTGGCATGCGTGAAGCCAAGAAACTCTCTTGTCTGAGCTGTCTTTGCACCACGACGCCAAGAGCTCCTTGACATTCACGATGGCAACAATCCTCTTCCAGCCCTTCCAGACAGCATTATGTGCCAAACGTTTCTTTCCGCCACTGGTCTAAACCCTGACCCCTTAACCCTGCACCCCCCACCCCCCTAAACACTAAACCCTAAAGCTCCAAACCCTGTTGTGCCTGGAGGGCCAAAAGCCCCAGGGACACCAAAAGGAGTCGCGAAGTGCGTGCCATGCCTTTTTGATTTGACTCATGGCTTTGTGAGTTTGTTTTAGAGTTTCGGGTTCACGGCTTGAGATTGTATAATGAGAAGCCAGTAGCCCATCATCATAATCTACTTCGAATCACTTTGGGTTTAAGTAGGCCAGCATGTTGGGGAACAAGGCTTTGCAGATAGCGCTCACCAAGGGCGACCTTGAACCCTTTAAGAAGCAAAGGGGACCAGTATTTTGGATGCAATGCCAATTTTATGGGCACATAGGTTACTTGAGGCTCATTCCACACGGTTCAGTGTTGGGGGGATTCGGGTTTAAGCGTAGGGTTCGGGGCTTGAAGCGTTTAAGGCTTGGAGCTTATGCTTCTGAGTGGAGGCTTATAGACATGAGTAGGGACACCAAAGGCGCTGGTAAAGCTTCTTTAAAAGGCTTGAACCATGTGATGTAGGGGGCTGTGTGCAGGTTGTATTCTGTAGGCGATGTACACGTGGGGGCCCCGTGGTCATAAGTTGGGGGCATCAATGCCCTATAGTCTATAGTAGGTAGAAAAAAAGGTGACACGACCACTTTAAATTGCAATTAGAAGTGGGCTACTGTTGGGATAAGTATGGGTATCAGGTATAACTTTAAGTCCAATATAAACCGTCGTCATGGGATTTCTGAGCATAGTTATAGTCATATAATTACGGGGCCCTACGCTGTATTTCTGGATTCCCCAACCGAACACTTCGCATATACACTCAACAATATACATATGGACTACAATATTCTGTGGTTGGATCTACTGCAAGTTTGTGCTCCCCAGGAATGGACACCAAATATGTCACCAATACTTTAGAGGAACCCCAAAACCATAGCAAAGTCCCCACAATTCACTATAAAACCTAAAGCATACGCCCGAAATCCAAAACCCTAAACTTCCCTAAGCCTTATATCATAAATCCTACGCCCTAAACCTTAAAAACGTAAGTCCTAAGCCCTAAACCCTAGCCCCAAACCGTCACCAAGACCTTTACACGGAAACTGGACATACCTCTTGGGACACCCAAATCCGCACCGCACCTGGAATGCCCAGCTACCAAAAAAAATGGACTTGGGGCTCAGAAAAATGGGCAGATAGAAAATAATCCCTTCCTCATATTAA